CTGTCATTCAATGCCAGAACCTCATCCTCTAATTGTTCCTATACTAGAGGAAGTTGATTTTTATGGGGTTGCAAAGCTGAGATATCTGAAAGTGGATCACGTAATAATAATAATAATATTAATAATAATAATAATAATAATAATAAATAAATAAATAAATAAATAAATAAATGAACTAGTGACAAAAGCTGTTGGCTCTCACTTGACCAACTGCGTCACAATCTAGCTATAGTATCTTATTTTAAAAAAAATAAGACATGATATTACTCTACAAAATTAAATAGTCAAGTGCATGTACCATTACAATGTTATTAAAAAATTTAGGTTTTGAGTAAAATAGTTGTTCACATCTCATATGAATGCTACAAAGAGCTCGATCAGTAACGATTTTGATTCCAAAACGACATAGTGAAAAGCTTAAGGAGTTAAATAGCAGCATTCTCTTAAAATAAATTATTTTCTCATCCTAGAGATGGCCATCCCCTCACTTTGACAAGGGCAGAGTTAAAGTCAACATATGCAACGAGATTTTTGCAACAACCAAGTACAACTCACAGGGTTTTGAAACTGGAAACTTGTATAAATTGTTTAAGGGAAAAAAAAAAACTAACATGGTTCTAGTAATGTTGGTGAAACAACAAAGAAGCTATGTACTCGCAATGGAGGAATATGAAAAAGGAGATATGATAAAATAAAATAAAAAACTTATTAAAATTCCAATGTCTTCCTAATAAAAAAAAAAAGAAAAAAAAAGAGTGTTCTAATGTGTTCCATGTATAAAAATATTAATCAAAAATTTTTTTAGAGAGATCTCTACTGCTTGAGAAATAAGCAGAAAAAAAAGATAAATGATTAATATGATTGATGATATATGTGACAAGAGAAAAGTAGATTAAAATTTTGAATCATAATTAGTTTATATTAATTAATTAACTAAATTGTTCACGAACTTGAATTAAGTCAAGTTTAAATTAAGAAAATACTTTATGTTAAATATGAATCGAATTTTAAATTGATCTGAATATTATTGAGTCAAGTCAAAATTGAGCTCGACTCAACTCAATTCTACTCATTTTTAACTTTATTTAATTTAAATTTACTATTTAATTTAACAAACAAAATAATATTTTGAGAAACTAAAAATATATATATCCTTTTAAAATTGACACAAAATGGTAACTTGATATTTAATGATAGTAGTATACATAAAAAAATGTTATTAGTTGTTTTTATTTTATATATATATATATATATATATATATATATATAACTATTAATAAAGCATGTATAGAAAACATATTAATGCCATTTTTATATAAGAATAAGAATGTGTTGTTCGTGGATGCCGAAAGCATGAAGTGATATGAAATCTTATAATGCACTATCCTCACAAGTTGCAGGAACTCTGACAAATTCTTAACTTAGAAAAGAGAGAAAATTGAGAAAGAGAGAAGAGAGTAGTGCTTTATGCACCTAACTTAGTATTTATAGAAGGGATATTGACCTATAATAAATCAATAAAATTAAAATCAATTAATTTTAAATGTTTGATCATTTAAAATTAATTAAAATTATAACAGTCAAGTTATTATATTTTATCAAATTTAATATTAATTAAGTTTTAAAATATGCAATGAATAAAATAATTATTTTAAATTTAAATTAATTTTAAAACTAAAGAAATATTTAAAAATATACAATATAATACATTGTAATTATGTATTTAACTCTATCATTATTGTTATTGTAACTATCACTATCATTATCATTATTATTATTACCATCAATATTATCATTGTACCATCACCACTATACTATCATTGTTTTCGCCATTGTTACTACTAATGACATTACCACTAACACTATAATGATAATGGTGACAACGATGATGATAGTCCACTACTACCATCGTTACACCATTGTCATCATTATTATTGTCATATCATCATCTACACTACAATCATAACAATGATAATAATAATAATGTTACAATAATAATGATAATAATAACAATAATTATAATAATGATAATGATGACAATAATTATAAAGACAACTATGATTAATATAGTAGTTTTATTTATAATTTTTTAATTGTCACATAAAAATGACATTTCACAAGAAATGCTCCCCTTTCTCCGTGTTCTCTCTCTCAATATATAGTATGTATATTTCCAATAAAATTTTTTGAGAAAAGATGGAGAGAATTTTGTGAAATGAGAATGAAGAATGGTATGATGCTTGAGAGGTTCGTTGGACTTAAATCGTGGTAGGCAAATCAATTTCCCTGAAAATGCCTAAGCCTGTTGGACGACGGCGGACAATCATACAACTATTAGTCATCATTAGAGATTTTTGTTTGGAACTGAGCAAAATAATGCAATGGATAAAGCATGTATAGAAAACATATTAATGCCATTTTTATATAAGAATAAGAATGTGTTGTTCGTGGATGCCGAAAGCATGAAGTGATATGAAATCTTATAATGCACTATCCTCACAAGTTGCAGGAACTCTGACAAATTCTTAACTTAGAAAAGAGAGAAAATTGAGAAAGAGAGAAGAGAGTAGTGCTTTATGCACCTAACTTAGTATTTATAGAAGGGATATTGACCTATAATAAATCAATAAAATTAAAATCAATTAATTTTAAATGTTTGATCATTTAAAATTAATTAAAATTATAACAGTCAAGTTATTATATTTTATCAAATTTAATATTAATTAAGTTTTAAAATATGCAATGAATAAAATAATTATTTTAAATTTAAATTAATTTTAAAACTAAAGAAATATTTAAAAATATACAATATAATACATTGTAATTATGTATTTAACTCTATCATTATTGTTATTGTAACTATCACTATCATTATCATTATTATTATTACCATCAATATTATCATTGTACCATCACCACTATACTATCATTGTTTTCGCCATTGTTACTACTAATGACATTACCACTAACACTATAATGATAATGGTGACAACGATGATGATAGTCCACTACTACCATCGTTACACCATTGTCATCATTATTATTGTCATATCATCATCTACACTACAATCATAACAATGATAATAATAATAATGTTACAATAATAATGATAATAATAACAATAATTATAATAATGATAATGATGACAATAATTATAAAGACAACTATGATTAATATAGTAGTTTTATTTATAATTTTTTAATTGTCACATAAAAATGACATTTCACAAGAAATGCTCCCCTTTCTCCGTGTTCTCTCTCTCAATATATAGTATGTATATTTCCAATAAAATTTTTTGAGAAAAGATGGAGAGAATTTTGTGAAATGAGAATGAAGAATGGTATGATGCTTGAGAGGTTCGTTGGACTTAAATCGTGGTAGGCAAATCAATTTCCCTGAAAATGCCTAAGCCTGTTGGACGACGGCGGACAATCATACAACTATTAGTCATCATTAGAGATTTTTGTTTGGAACTGAGCAAAATAATGCAATGGACTAATGTTATATAAATTGCCATTATATAAATTCATAATTCATGTATATTTCTCTAGCTATTAATTAAAAAAAAAAAAAAGTCACATGCACTTTCAATGTATTTCATGACGGTGAGGCGTGGTCGACGGAGGCCATTTTGAAATTATCTGAAACTGAATATGTAGAAATAGAAAGAAGAAACTATAGTGAATTTATTTATATAAAACTATTTATAATAATGTTATTTTTTCATTTATTATCACATCATTTATTTGATTTTATATTTTTATCTCTCCAATAATTTAAAGAAAAATTATACACAATGTTGTTGTAGAAACATGATTTGTATTATGGACATCTGTATTATGTGATCCTGAGCCTCACGCCCCCACAAGCTCGGTGTTATGGTGTCGGGAACTTTGTCTGTCATTTTCGGTGCGTGGTGTTGTTGCATCGTCCTTGCAAAATTTTCCATAGTGTATCTGAAAAATTATAATCGATATTCATGAATACGAAAAGTACCGACAAGAGTACACGGTGGCACGTGAATCGAATGTGAGTTTCACGTGGAAGTGGGATTCCACTCGCACAATATTTCTCTTCCTAAGTTTGAAAATAAGACATGATACATGAGGGAGGGTGTGCCCCTTGGCCCCCCCACTTAGATGCTCGTGGTGGAGGGTCCTCTAAGCATGCCAACACACCCCACCATGGCCCCCACACCCCCACCAAAACCTTAGATTCCATGTAAGTGGGGTTTTCTTTCCATCTTCATGTTATTATCATCAACAATATCCTCTTCACGTGTCTCTCTTTACTCATCTCTAGACTCAACTTCAATTTTTAACAAGGAAAATCCACAACTGATCATGTCGGGAAGCCCTTAGATCTTATCCTTAATTCTACCATCCTTCCACAAATAAATAATGTCGCACTATTCATGATGAGCTCAAATTAACCAATTAGTATTCACTCATAAAATAATAACATTTGAGTTGAACAAAAAAAATAACTAGGACAAAAGAATCTTGATTTTTTAACCACAAGTAATTTTTTGATTAAGATAAGAAAAAAGGGCATGAAAGAAAAACAGCTGAATTCGGTCCGTGTAGAATGTAGAATATATTCTAGATAGCTGTCTGTGCATGCGTGATTCAGTTTGTTTAAAAAAGAAACAAATTAAGCATTTCTTTTTTATTTTATATAGAAATTGTTTGAGAGAGAAATTCAATAATGTGCATGTTTAAATATCTCCTTTTGATTTGGGAACATGGTCTGTCATTTTCAGGGAGAAATACAAACAAGTAATTTGTTTGATAGATCGATACATGATTAGGAAAATGTGGAGAGTTAGCAAAAAGGAGGATATGATCCTGGTCCACCTTCTCTTGCTTGATACCTAACCCGTATAAGATGACAAAAGAGAACTGCATGAAATTTGTGGACACCTTTGAGAGAATCCCCCCAAATTTTTATTTCGCTCAGTACTAGGAATTAATTTGTGAAATGACTAGTATGCCATCCATAACCAAGACCACATGGACTATTATATTTATTACCAATTCGTCTCAGTAGAGGTAGAGCCATACATTCCCTCACCTTTCATACAACAAACCACAACGATCCATTATTTGAGTGCATCAAGGTTCAACAATTCGGGACATCTGCTTCATCAAATTACAGGATATAATTCGTGCGTGCACAGTAGTGGCAAATCGTGATCCACAACTTAATTTTGATTTGTTTGCTTCACATGCGTTATTAGGGAGAAGGTGGAGGCTAGTTACCTACCATATATTATATATACGTCAAGTGTGTGGAACCCAGAACAACATAGCAGCAAAGGCAAGGAACCTCAATTGTTTAGCTTAATTAGTTTCATACAATCAAATGATTCAGAAGATGTTTGACTCCACACGCTCGGGGATGACAAGAAGTTCTTCCCACATGGCCTCCATGTAAGTATTGTATATATTAAACTATTAATTAACATATGAGTATAATATTAAAGGGTGTTTCATGCATCATATCCTTGCTTTAATTGTGTTCCTTATTTAATTTGAACCAAAGTGGGTGGTTTTATTTCAGTTATGAGAATGATTTTCTTGAGCTGGTGTGGGAAAATGGCGAAGTTGTTGTACGAGGAGGTTCATCAAATGGAACAAAAAAGAGTCACGAGGAAAGAATATTACATGATCATCAAGATGGCAGCATTACAAAAAGAACAAGGTTGAACACATTATACTCACTTGAGGATCACTTTCCCCATCTAAGGGACTCTGAAATGACCTCTTCCTCTTCACATCAAAGCAATAATGGTCAAGATTCGTGTCAATCCTCCCAAAGAAAGAACTCCTGCAAGCTCAATGAAGAATTTGCAAACTTGTTTACACCAGTAAAAGACTCTAGGCCTGTTACAACAGACATCGGTCACTTACAACAGTGCTTACCTTCATCTCCTCTCAAGAAACAAATAACAGATTCAACACAAACACCACTAGCAACAAATCAAATGACAACAAAAGTGAACTTCTCCAACTTTTCCATACCCGCAGTGTTTCTCAAACAGGGAAACAGTGCAACTCAGCAGACAAAAGAAGCAAGCAAGGTTGAGAAAGTAGCAGCTGATGAATCAGCCAAGGAATCACATGGATTTCTAAAGCAAACATTCTTAACTGTTGAAAGAAGCTCGAAACCACTTCCACCGGTTGATGAACACTCTGAAGCTGTTGGAACTCACAGATTCCGAGGTCAAGGTTTTGACCAAATGCCAAGCTCAGAAACACTTAGAGCCAAGGCAAAAGGTTGTAATAATACTGACATGAGTCATGAACTGTTGCTTGCATCTTCTTCTGTGTGCTCGTTCGGAGCCTCCAACGACCCAAATATTAGTTTCAGGAAACATGAGGACACTGATGACTCAATATATTTCAGTGATGTAAGTGGAACCCTAGGCTATGCTTTTACCTTCTTCTACCCTCCGTGTTAGTTAATTACATCATTCTAAGGAACATGGATTTGTTTGATGCAGAATGATGAAGACCCTGAAGATATGGTAAAGCAAGATAGGGAGGGTAATAGAGTCAAGAGAAGCAGAAATCCTGAGGTTCATAACCTATCAGAAAAGGTGAGAAAAACATTTAGGAGATGATAAAGTAGATTCCATGAAGAGAACTGCTATGCTACCATAGGGCTTTGGTACAGTTACCTTTTTTTACCAAATAGTTAACCGAGATTAGACCTGCTAAGAGAAAGGAAGGGAGAGAAAGAGCTTCACCAAATGGAAACTCATTCAATTATTGGTCAAGATTCAAGAAAAATAACAGTAAACCTTAAAATTTATGTGGTACCATAGAATTTCTCTTCCATGAAATATACCCCAAATAAAAAGATGAAGAGCTTGTATATGTGCTGATTAATTCCATGTAATTAACTACAAGTTGTTGGTGTATACAGAAGAGAAGAGAAAAAATCAACAAGAAGATGCGTACATTGAAGGAGCTAATACCCAATTGCAATAAGGTAAGTGTGTGTGTACGTACACAGCTTTGACATCTATGTCTAATTTTTCAACTAAGACCTTGCTGCACTTGTTTTAGTTCTTTAAGTTTTGTCTTGTGTGTGTCTCTAGGTGGACAAAGCATCAATGCTTGATGATGCCATAGACTATCTTAAGACTCTAAAGCTTCAATTACAGGTAAAAGTTCAGATCCAGTTCCCAGAGTTGGCCTAAATTTGTAAATGTTGGAATTTGAATAAATGTCTAAACTGAAGCATGGTGTTAATTATGATGCAGATTATGTCGATGAGTAGTGGATTATGGCCACTTATGATGCTACCTGGGGCGCATCACATGAATAATGGACCACATTTGCCTCAGTTAGTGGGAGGTGGAATGGGATTCAGGCCACCACAGCTTCCTATTCCACCACTTTCTGCCATTACAGATAACAGACTTCAAATGTTTGGTTTCCCAAGCCAAATACCATCCATGCCATTGCCTCATCCACCTTTCTTCCCTGTCATTGGAAATTCTGCCACACAACCACACTTGGCTAATCCACTCCCCAAGAACTTAGATCCTCTTGAAAATCTTAGTGCAACAAAGCAAGTGCCCAATCAGCGATCCTTTCAACACCACATCACTAGTACTCCACTAGCTACTCCTTTCGTTTTTCCACAAAACTAGAGGAGAAAAGGAGAATGTACGCATGAAGAGAAAACTAGCGTGATGAGACAGATTAGATTAAAGATGTTGATTAAAGGCGAGGGTAAAGTTGGTTTACCCTTTTCACAAAGATGACGTACATTTTCTGATCATAGAATATCAGTTGCAGATATAGAATCTGACAGTTAACAGTTTCATGCTTTCAGCCATTTACTGTTACCATGTACCACGAAAATGATCCATCCATACACGAAGATAGGTGACAGAATGTTAATTTAGATTCTGATTAAATTCATTTTTTTTAAGTTAATGGAATGCGATTACATGCATATTTAAATCAACTTGAATTATTGAGATTAGTTTAGTAATAATAGGGTTGACGTAATATAAACAATGTTAAGTATGAATTATATTTTCGTTATCGAAATTTTTATGGATAAAAAATATTTTTTTTATTTATTAAAATGTGTGTTAGAACTGTAAAATAGGTTTTTTTCTCTCTTTCATTTATATGAATTGAACTTATTTTTAATGAGTTACATGTGCATTACTTAACCAGCTAACACTACAAGAAATGTTACATACAGTAATATACAAAAAGTGTTATTATAGGAACAATATATGTAGGTATATGTCTATTTGACATATAGTTACACACAATTTTAATGTTGATTTTGAATGAGATTTAACAACATATTTTATGTATCACTATAATCTATATACTCACACTTTTTAATAATATACCAACATATATTGTAGTTATTGTATGGGTAAAAGTAATTTTTAGTGACATATATAATGTTACTATAGGGTGTGTCACTATATGATAATTTTGTTGTAGTGTAAACTAAACTTCTTAGTAGGTCAAACAATTATAAATACGTATTCAATTCAATTTATTTTCAAGAAGCATCTATGAATAAAAAAGTAGAGAGAAATAACATTTTTAGGAGCAAAAAATAAGTTTTTCTATAGGGTTAAAAATATTTATTTAAACATATATAATTGTAGTGTGTGTGTGCGCGCACACACATTCACACACACACACACACACATATATATATATATATATATATATATATATATATGTGTGTGTGTGTGTGTATAAACACATATTTAATAAAATAGAGCATCAAGTAATTTTTAAATTTTTAAAAATTTGTAGACTTGATCTATTTATTAAAAGATTTTAATTTAAAGGTTAGATTATTAAAATTTGATATAAAACGTGAATTATTAAGTGAAATATTTGTTTAAACTTATATAATTGTAGTGCGCACACACACACATATATGTATATATATATATATGTGTGTGTGTGTGTGTGTGTGTGTGTGTGTGTGTGTGTGTGTGTATGTGTGTGTATAAACACATCAAATTTAATAAAATAGAGCATCAAGTAATTTTTAAATTTTAAAAAATTTGCAGACTTGATCTATTTATTAATTTTTTTTAATTTAATGGTTAGATCATTAAAATTTGATATAAAACGTGAATTATTAAGTGAAATAAGAAACGTGCTCTTAAAGTGATAAAGTTATTTCATTCAATAATTTATGGTTATGTTGAATTACCTTGTTTCATTAATTTCAATTGTAATATAATCATAAAAATATTTTATACGTCAATATGAATCTATATAATGAAGTATCATATAATTTTTTAATTTTTTAAAAATTTATAAAAATCATTCATGCATTAAGAACTTTTAATTTGATGGTGTTGAATTATTGAAATTCAACGTATATCATAAGTTATTGAGGGAAATAATTTTACCAAAAGTTACTCTTAGAGTAATTTAATCATTCGTTTCTCTCTCTCTCTCTTTATATATATATATACACACACACACATATATATATATATACTCATTAAAAAAGGGTCACCTATCATTTATCTTCGTACCAAATCCAATAATGCTAGACGTGAGGGGGTGTATTGGGAAAAACTCAAGTCTCACATCGACTAGAGATTAAGCAATTAAAAAATATATAAGTGGAAAGCAACCCTTACCTTACAAGCTGATTTTGTAGGGTTGAGTTAGGCTTAATTCACTATTCTAAGAATTTTTCTAGAAATTAGTCTAGCTTGAAACCTTAACTATATTAAGAGTTTAAGATTATCCTTTTTGACATTTTTTTTATTAAATTGTTGAAAAATAATTCAAAATTTAAAATTTAAATATCTGAGATACTATTTAGATTTTAAAGATATTGTTTAAAATTAAAATATATTATATTTATTTTAGAGATTTGTTTTCTTTTTTAATATTGAGATGTAAAATCAATAAATAAAAACTCTTGAAAAGAGAAAAATCACCTAACTTGTAAAGGGATCATTGCCTTAAATGAGAGAAAGAATCATGTGGTACCAAAAATCCTATTATATGTTGTTGTACCTTGGGGATAAAAACACCAAGTATTTTCACGGTACTACCGTCATTCATAAAAGGAATAAGGTGGAAACTTTGCAAAACGATGACGGAATCTCGATTAATGAAAGGCAAGAGTTCGAAAATTTGGTAATCAATTTTTACAAAAACCTATTTCAAGATTTTGTGAGTGTCTTCCTTTTTGTTTGTTAGGAAGGTTTTCGAACTTACAAGCTCATGCTTTGGCGGATATTGGTTGTCCTATTGAAGATAGATCCTCTTTATAATCTAATCCATGAAATAAAGGAGGTTCTTGATAGGATCAAGAGCATCAATGATACTTTAATTACTCTCATACCAAAGATGGATATATAGTGTTTATCAACTAAAGCACACAAGATTAATTAGTCTTTGCAATGTTTCTTATAAGGTGTTAACTAAGGTGTTAGTTCATCAGCTGTGTTCAATAATGAATAATATAGTATGTCCAAACTAGTGCAACTTTGTTTCCAGTAGGCATAGTAGTGATAACATTATCATTACACAAGAGGTGATCCATTCAATGAGATTGAAGAAAGGGAAAAAAGGTGGATGACCATTAAAATGGATTTGGAGAAATGATCATATCAATTGGAGGTTTGTTAAAGATACTCTTCAAGATATTGAGTTGCCTCAATCTTTTGTGGACTTGGTATGAGCTTGTATTTCTACCTCCAAGATGCGGATGTTGGTGGAATGGAGAAGTTTTGGATGAATTCACCCCTTCTAAAAGCATTCATTAAGGTGATTGTTGTTGTCATATTTATTTCTATTATGCATGGAATATACTTATTTCATTTGATTGATATGATCGTATTTATAGATTGTTGGAAACCAATTCAGTTTTGTGTGTAGCGGGCAATTGTCACCTAAGTTGTAAGATATCACCTCCATTTGTTGTGCTTCAGTATTCATAAGGACTACCACCACCTTGAAAATGTCAATTTGATCATTGTAACCAAACCCAAACTTTTGATTTAACACATCAAATTTATCATTGTTTTCATAAATACGGAAACGTGGCTATTCTTCAAACATAAGCTTAGCGGTTATTTTATAGTTCATTTCATTAATTTAAATTGATAGATAATCATAAAAATATTTTATACGTTGAAGTGAATATTTATAATGAAGTATCATATGGTTTTCAAATTTGAAAACTTGATCTATATATTAAGAACTTTTAATTTAACAGTTGAATCATTGAAATTTGATGTAAAACATGAATTATTGAATAAAGTAAGTCTATTAAGACTTACTGATGGCATTGGTTTTAAAAGTGCAAATCATGTTTTATTCTTCATGAGTCCAATGAGGTACATCAGTCTTTACAAACAAGGGTACGCACTCGCTCTTTCCTTTTGGTAGTTACCACTTTTAATGGTAGGTACCATTTGTATTCCTTCGTGTAAGTTGATTTAAAATTGTTTTCGAAGATAAGTGTCCATTTTACTAAAAACTAAAAAGTTATATTTTTTTGACACTTATCTAACTAGGTTTAAAACAAATATGTATTTTAACCCCTAAAAAATTATAAGAATCAAAACAATATGTAAATAGGGTAGTTTATGAAGAGTTGATAGATTTTTAATTAATGAACCCTTATTTTTCATGCAGATTTGATGAAATGCCAAATCCTCTCAACCATTTGGAAAGGGCTGAATGGATTGAAAACAAAGAACACAGTGATTGTAGAGCTAAATCTACTCCATCGTTAGGAAAAGGCTGAGCAAACTTGGTCTAGAGAGGGATGAAAAATTTGATCTTCAAGGACTCAACGGATTGAAATTAACTCAACTGATGGAGCTTTGTTCACCCTGAAGAATTCAAAAATGTGTTTGATCACTTGGAAAGGGCTAAGCGAGTTTATTTCCTATTTACTCTATTTTATTTTATAGACAAATTTAAGGGACCAAGAGAGAGAAAAACACAACCAGATATAGGGTAACAAAGCTAAGGAGAAAAGAACTTGAAGAGTCATTTGGAGATAGAGATTTTGGGTTCTTCTTCATCTTTTTCTACATTTTCTATGTATATGGAGATTGCACTCATTACTATGAATAGCTAATCTACTCTTTTGTTGGGATTGAATATAATCTATCAAACTCTTATATAATTAGTTTAATATATATATATATATATATATATATATATATATTCTATTATTCAGTGTTAGTGGTATGATTGTATTTTTAATGTTAAGGTGAACTGACCAATCATCTTTTAATCTTTGATTTAGATTTTAGTTAGAAGACATTTTCTAAATTTATTTTGAATCAAATCACCTAATGATTTTAAAGGTTGAGAATAAATTTAAAGTCGTTAATTGAACAAGTTCACGTAATTAATACAAAGAATCTAATTTAGTAAACTAAGAAATCGATTATTAAACTATGATCCTTAGAATTCCTAGAGACAAGGAATTAGAATGATATTTGAGAATTTAATAACATTGAGTGGTAGGAATCATACCTAGATAATCTTAGGAGAGTAGGCGAGTGAGATAGATGAAATTCAATCCTAACAATTTCTCAAACTGTTACCTTTCAACTTTGTACTTGCTTTCTACTGTTATCTTCTTTACAAATTCAATATTGAAATGCACAACATGTTTATATTTAGTGTATATATATTTCTTTTGAAAGTTTTAATTAAGATATTAGAAATTAACAATTATCTTTCAAGTCTCCGTGGATTAGCAACTTATACTTCCATCTATACCATTAGTACACTTGGTGCACTTGTTACAAAATTTCGACACTCACTCTCAAAGTAAGTGGCTCTATCTCTATATTTATTATCTTTGACTATATCATTTGAATTTTAATTTTTACATCAAATAATCTTTAATGTAAAATTTTATTAAGATTGATTAGACAAAATTATTTTTTCTTCTAATCAAACTTAATATATTATTGTATTTGTATATTATTTTAAATTTTAACAAATTCATTTAACTTTTTTTTTTAGGACAGTTGAGTTAGTTATACTTCTAAGTGTTATTCTATATGAATAATTGTTTTTAAAAGTTGATAAACAAGTACATTTAAATATTTATAAATATATAGTTTAATTAAATTTTCATAATCAAAATTTATTTCTTTATTAGTTTTTTATTGAAAAATATTTTTAATCAATAGAATAGTTATTTGTCAAATATTTAAAGTTTAACACTCTCTCTATCTATTTATCTATATCTATATCCATATATCTATTTTAAATGTATATCTATCTATCTATATCTTATGAATCCCTTCTTATATA